AAAAAAAAAAAAAAAAAGTTTTGGATCAACCCCATCCAGTTTGGGGGTATGAGGGAGAATAACATAATACAGAACCTTTGCTCCTTAAGACGACATGAGCATTCTTTCTTTTTTTGTTTTAGAGACAGAGTCTCACTCACTTTATTGCCCTTGGTAGAGTGCCATTTTGTCACAGCTCACAGCAACCTCCAACTCCTGGGCTTAGGCGATTCTCTTGCCTCAGCCTCCGAGTAGCTAGGACCACAGGTACCCACCACAATGCCCGGCTATTTTTTGTTCCAGTTTGGCCAAGGCCATATTTGAACCCACCACCCTCTCGGTATATGGGGCCGGCCCCCTACTCACTGAGCCATAGGCACTGCCCCAACACAAGCATTCTTAAGCATTCCGACAGGTGTTGAAAAAAGATTTAGCATTTTGCAAAGCACAAAATAGGAAAATGTGATGTTTGATTAGAAAACTAAAGATATGCTAGATGCATTATCTGCAGATTATATGTAACTGAGGATGAACTGGCAAGTCAAATCCAGAAAAAGACTGGTTTTATATGCTGGATGGAAAACTACCCCTATAGTCTGCAAAAATTCTCTCATATCTACACACATATGGTTGGAGAGAGGACTAAAAACAGATTTATGTTACAGGGAGAAGGCTATAACCCAAAGGGTCCCTTCCAACTAAGACTTCTCAATTCTATGATCCAAAGAGTTTACTGACTTCTCCTGGTGGAACACAAAAGTCTTCAGAGGTATTTCCAACTTGTTCTGAAAAAAAAAAAAAAAAAAAAAGCTACTGGCTCGGCGCCTGTGGCACAAGCGGCTAAGGCGCCAGCCACATACACCTGAGCTGGTGGGTTCGAATCCAGGCTGGGCCCGCCAAACAACGATAGCTGCAACCAAAAAATAGCCTAGCGTTGTGGTGGGTGCCTGTAGTCCCAGCTACTTGGGAGTCTGAGGCAAGAGACTCACTTGAGCCCAGCAGTTGGAGGTTGCTGTGAGCTGTGATGCTACAGCACTCTACCCAGGGTGATGGCTTAAGGCTCTGTCTCAAAACAAATAAATAAAATAAAATAAGATAAAATAAAAATAAAGCTACTAACCCATGAGGTTAGAATCCTGTTTACTTATTCACTCAACAAACATTAAGGTGCCTAAGATGTTGGGTCATTTCAAGGTCCTTGAAAAGAAGGATGGTGCATAGGACAATCAGGAAGAGATTACATAAGGTCAGCTGTGTTTATCTCATTTATAGGAAATGCAGGATAAGGGAATGGAAATGTCAAAAAAAGAAAGCAATGGGCAGTGCCTGTGGCTCAAAGGAGGAGGGTGCCAGCCCCATATGCCGGAGGTGGCAGGTTCAAACCCAGCCCCAGCCAAAAAAAAAGAAAGCAAAAAATGAAAAGTTACAAATTTACTCTGAGAGCATAGTCAGCACCAGAAATATTCAGAATAACTACTTAAGAGACTTTCAAGCTGGATAGGACTCCATCTAATACCTGTACACATCCCTCTACAGGCATTCCTTTGGAGGCAATTCACTCCCTCACTGGTCAACGCCGGTGATTCTTCTATTAATTAAAAATCTTGTCTTCCTGCAGAATTCACCTATCTGTCCTAGTTTTGCCTTCTTCAGCCCCAAAGATTAAGTGAAAACCCTCTTTGCCATAACAATTTTTTCCATTTTTAAAAACAGCTGAAGGCTTCCCAATGCTCTCTTTTCCAGGTTAAATATTCCCATTCTTTCAAAGTTCCTGAACTGACTCCAACTGCTCCAAATTGAATAGCTATCTAGTAAGTCACAGCAGAGAGGCACTTAAGATCAGTGGGTTTCAATGTACATCAGTACGTACAGGATCTCTTGAGTTCAAAACGCAGTTTCCCAGGTCCCTATCCAGATTCTAAACTGGATGTGTCTGATTTGAGTCCAGATTTCAAAACAGATGGTATGAAAACTACATTTTGAGAAACTGTCACGTCTTACAAAGGAGGAAACTGAGGCCGAATACGGGGAAAAGATTTGGCCCAGAATGCACAATTGGCTGTCGGTGGCAGTCTCAAACCCAGGTCTCTTACTTTCAGAGAAACTCTGTTCTCCATGCTATCCAGCTTCTGCCCCTTCACTTAGTGCAAACACGTTAAATATATTCGCACGAGAGAGGCGGCCCCGCGCCGTGGACAGAAAGGGAATCAGGGTGAGTCCTTCCCTTTCTCAAGGCCTCAGTTCCCCCAATCAGTAATCCAAGGACGGAAGACCACAACGCCAGCCCGACCTCTCTTCTGGGGCCGAGGGCCCGGGGCAAGGACGTGTTTGTCGTCTCGGGGCCCCCCTCAAGGGTCCTACCCCGTGAGCCTTTAAGAAGGCATTACCTCGACTCCCGCCCCAACCCCGACGACCCCTGCCGCCACCTCAGCTCCCCACATACTTGCCTCCGCGCAGGTAATGATGCCCAGAATCCCCCAGCCTATCGGTCTTTGAGCCAACTTGCGAGTACTACATCCAGGTCAACCTATTGGGCGGGACCTCCGACCCCTCCTACGCGAACTCCAGTCACCTGACCCGGAGCCGCCCCTCTCGCAGGCATTTCCGGTCCCAACCGGAAGAGGTTTGGCCTCTTGCACTGTTCCGGCCCAGGTGTGAAACTCCAAGGTTCCGCCTGAGGACCGGAAGCTGAGGAATTAGAGGGTATTTGCTGCCTTGTTGAAGAACTCGGGGGTCGGAACTTCTGGAAGAAAAGGCTGATTCCAGAAAGTACCAAATAAGCCTAAAACATTTTGTTGTACCAGAATGTAAAAATGATAGAAATTACTCAAAGGACATAGGAGCTAACTGGAAAGATCACAGTGGACAAATCGGGGAAATTTCAGCATTTAAATACGAATAAGAGAGTAATAGAGTGTAACTAATTGAATAAAATAGTAATCCATGAGTCGTTACTGTCATAAAGAAGTGAATAAACAAATGGGGACAAGGAAATTGTTTTAATAGGATGCCAACAAACTTGATGGAGCTAGAAAAATCAATAATAAGGTTTGCCGCCTGTAGCTCGGCAGCTAGCAAGTCGGCCACATACACTGGAGCTGGGTTTGAATCCATCCCAGGCCTGTTAAACAACAATGACAACTACAGCAAAAAAAATAGCCAGTCGTTGTGGCGGGTGCCTGTAGTCCCAGCTACTTGGGAGGCTGAAACAAGAGAATCGCTTCAGCCCAAGAGTTGGAGGTTGCTGTGAGCTATGACACTACAGCACTCTAGCAAGGGCGACATAGTGAGACTCTGTCTCAAAAAAAAAGTCAATAATGAATGATAAAACTAGAGAAATAGGACATGTGCACAGTGAAAGTGTCTCCCATAAATAACTTGTGATTACAAAGGGAAAATAGTAATGTTACAGAGGTATAACCTAACAAAACAAAGAAATCAAGGTTAACTTCACCAGTACTGGGTCAAAATCATGTTATTACTTTTTTTTTTTTTTTGAGACAGAGTCTCACTTTGTCACCACTAGTAGAGTGGCGTGGGGTCATAGCTCACGGTGACTTCAAACTCTTGGGCTCAAGCAATTCTCTTGCCTCAGCCTCCAGAGCAGCTGGAATTACAGGC